TAAATTTCAGTTGTCAAACACTACGTATCACCCAAACTTTAAAACCATAAGATGGACGAACAATTTATTGAGAGAAAATTTGGAGGGCTTTTTAATGCCCCAGACTGTAGCTGAAGTGAGGCAGGTGGGACAATCAACTAGGACACAAATGAAAAATCAGATATTCAGCTAAATTTAAGATTACAATCCTATAATTCATTTATTATTAATATAATAATTGGATTGTGGTATCAAATGGTCCCAGCTGCTATGTTAGGTACTGCAGAAACTAAGGAGTGAGTGCAGCCTAAGCAGAAATTACATTAGTGGGGGAGGAAAAAACAGCAGCACCAAAAGGGGAATGAATTTGTCTGAGGTCCCGCATTGCATTTGTAACAGTTCTGAGGCTGAAGCCAGTCTCCTGACATCCAGATCGTCGTCTTTTGAACTAAACTACATTGCTACTCATGTAAGGATATTTGAAAAATTTAATGGTTTTATTAAATGTTGGTATTGATTTTGGCAAGCTACTTGCAACATCCACTACTGTAATGACAAGGAGTTTAAAAATTTCAGTTAACAAGAGATGCAAATTTCTTGGTTTTGTGAAGCAACAACGAGCAAAAAACCCTTAAGTAAAATAGCCTCTGGAAATCATTATATAGGCTATTTCTGGCTAAAGCAGGAAAAGTGTTGTTAATTATAATTCCTGATAAGGAATATAATCCCTGAATAACAGCCCTTAATAAATCACTATTTTAATTTTCATGGTTTGTTGCCTCCTAATGTTATCAGTTTGAGGGCTGATAAAATTTTTAATGTATGAAGTTATCAACAAGTCATTTCTTGTAACAATCACAGATTAAGAACCGGATCCTGAAAGTTGCTGAGCACGTGCAACTGGCACTGGAATTCAGGAACTCCAAAGATCCACCTAATGAGCTATTAAAATTATCTGGATTCTAGCTGACTTGATGTGCTTCACTTATCAACAGAACCTAAATTCTTTAGTAACCTCAGGATATCTCTGCTAGGTACAAAAGAACCGGACAACTACACAAGATACACACATCAAAAACTTTCTTCCTGGTTGTTAAAGAAATTCTTTATAAAAGCTGACTTAGTTTCCTAGGTCTGGCTAACATAAGATCAAGCTACAATGCTCTCAGGAAAAGGAGAAAATGTAGGTAATTTTTTCTACTGCTCCACCCTTGGCACTAGGCAATGGCTAATGATGATTATGGTGACAGGAATACGATCTAGACGTACCACTTATGAACTACTGTAGGAAAGCACACACTGATCAGAATAGTTTTCATCACTGCTATGCCATGCTGTGTCAGAGAATTGTGGGGATCAATCGAGTAAGTGACATACTTTTACTTATATCATCTTCACGCCAGTTACAAAAGAGAATATTCTTTCGTGATCCTGGTACAGAACAAAGCAATGAAAGGGAAGACTGTGTATCAAACCTTTCATTTGCAGAACATCTGAAGGAAACAAAGTGCAAATTTTTGCATTTTGAATGTTCTCCTGGTGAAAACCATCATATAAAATAACATTATTAACGTTCTTTAAAGGCAAATTCTACTTGTATCAGATTTGCACATAGAGCTTTCAAAATAAAAAGGATTTGAAATGGAAATAATGTGAATTCAGACAACTGTCGTCTTCACAAGTCAGCAACATTACTGTACTATGCCAGCCCTGCTAAAGACTTTTTTTTTTTTTTAACATGAACAGCATAGCTCCTCTATAGCAATCAGCAGTGCTGCAGGTATTGCATGTTTAACGAATGTGCACAAAGTTGGCAAATGACTTAGAGGGAGATTTTGTGCAGCTGTTGTTATGATACTGTTGAGTTGCAGAGAATACTATCCAGAGCAATGCTGATATCATAATTGGCTTCCACAAAAGCACATTAATGCAGGCCGCCAGATAAAAGTGGGTCAGCTTCCACTTACCAGCCAGTTTAGAATGAAAAGCCAAACTACACTGAAGAGAAAAAAATTGTGTGGAAGCCATTAGGTGCTAGGATAAATGTTTTTTATTTCATATGGGAAGAAAGAGCTCATCTCTTAAATCCTTGAATATAAATGCTAAGCTGCTCTTTCATTTGAGCCTACAGTCACCCTTTGGATGCAAATAACTAACACAGACCAAACCCTACTAACTGAAAAAGAAAACATGGCAACACAGATTCCCATTGCATTCAGAAGAACTTACATATATTAGTGTTGCCAAAAAAATCCCACATAATGGACTCTGAAACAAGGTTTTAAACAGCATGAATAGCCTCATCTCCATGATCCTGATGCTCTCTTATCAAAAAGATTACAGGTCAAGGAGGGTGACAGAGATTTACAAAGGAAGAGCATTTTGTGGCAATAGAACTGTATTCACAAACTTGCACACTCACAAAGCAGAATTTCAAATTCTCCAGCTCAAATTCAAAGCTTTCTTTACCTCTCCTTTACTCTAAGCTCTGTTCCTTGTCTCTTCTCATTCACTCCCCTTCTCAGTCTTTGTCCTCCGTTTGTCCTTCCTGTCTCCTGCTCACACTGTCAGATTCCCTGGCACCACTCAGACTTCTCTGTGCATAGAATAGCAGGTTCCCAAAACATGTTGGAGTCAAAAGAAAGAGTCCCAATGACTTTAGCAAGCTTTCACCTAAATTCTGACCCAGACTTGTCTTCATCTTTGCATGAGTATGTGAAAATTCACCTTTTGCACTAAACACTCCAGATACTGTTAAATGCACAATAACAGTGTCCCGCAGGATCAGGACATATCTGCTAAATAACCACCCTATCTGTATGCCACAAGCTCCCCCAGGCAGTGGTACGTTATTCATTTGGGCTCATTCTACTTACTATGCAGAGCTGTGAACAGCACCAGCAAACAGACAGCGCCCATTTGTCATTTCAGGAGTTCGTCTTGCTTCACTCTGAAAGACTTTTGGGTGCACCCATATTTAGACACAATTTATTTTCAAATGAGCCTAAGACATATTCTCTAGAGCAGGGGTTAGATGGATTGAGACTCCCTTGAGAGCCCTTCCCAGACTCTAATTGACTTGATTGTTAGGCAATTTTTCCTGATGTCCAACTTAAATTTCTTTTTTGCTCAATTTCATCTTATCACTTCCAATTACGTCTGACTGAACTGTTCAAAACAATTCTTCTCCTCTCTGTCTGCTCACAACGAGGCTACAGCACCACATCTCTTATTAGCACACCTTCACTTCAGAATTTATTGGCAATTTGAGTATGGAGTTGACATTTTATGCCCACTTCTTACAGATGTCAAAGATATTTTATTATCCATGGAAGAAAACATAAGCCGGGGAATGTGTGTAGACAATACAGGGCCTTCCCCCTTTCTTCCATAACCGAGACATGTGGTAATTAGAGTAAGAAAGCCTGAATGTAGCTAAGTTACCTTATGCAAAGAGACAGCTTCCGTGACAACATGGACTCGGATAGTCTCTCTCCTCTGTTCTTGCAATAATGTTCAAAATAATTGGGAAGACGAAGACAAAAGGAAGAAGTTGAAACATCTCTCCAAGGGAAAATACTGATGGAAAAAGAAAAGCTGTATTTCCCCAAACTGCTTACTGGATGTGTTGTAGCACAAACGACTTTTCCCCCAGTTTCTCAAAGTATGCTGCAAATTCAAAAAACAATGGCTTGCTCCCATCCATCTAAAATTTCAGCTCAAGACATCTGATGACACCAAACTACGGCAGTTCAGTATTTTTAGGAAGAGCAGAAGGTTATAATCTCTCTGTATACTAAATCTGACAAAGAAGCCACAGGAGGAAAAGAGCATTTGGAAAATGCTTATGCATATCAATTGGATCTAAACACCTAAGGAACAATGGACTCATTTCACAGGCACACTGAACTACAGATTGGTAGACCCAGAAGCAGGGAGCTTGGCCTTTGACAGTAGAAAATGAACTACTGTAGCCTGAGTAGCCCATTACTGACTATCACCTTGGTAAGACATTCACGTCACATCTGCAAGAACGGTTCCATTCCACAGATTGACTGACACTGACAGCCCTCTGAGCTGCCAGGATATGAGCTAATGCCAGTCTGACCCCAGATACATTAGCTTCTTCACAAGGAAGGACCCTTCTACATTCACCCCTTTGGCCACAGGCAGAATGCATTACAGTCCTTGGACGGGGGTACTCTGACCAGTACCTGGATGAGAAAGCAATGGCACAGAGTCGGTTTTGCCATGTTTCTGGAGGATGAGAATTCCCCCAAGAGTGGAGAAATGTCCCCAGGAGTGGCGTTGCTGGAGATAGCTTTGCTATGCCTTTGCACTGCTCTGGTAAATTTGCAAAACCTTCTGCTGTGCCGAGACTATATATGGATACCGCTCTAAATTTTTTCCCCTAAATTTCTTCTACATAACTTGGATCAAAAGTGAACGTACTTTTGTGTCTGCGCAGAACAGTTACGTAACAAGAGAAATGACACACAATCAAAGAGCTTTGCACCCACATACACACAGCCTGTCTACAGTCGTAATTCCACGTGTGCTTCCACAGTACATTTTTGTTAAGAGCAATATATTGAGTTCACAGAATGTTAGTTTCCCATCATCATATGTAATTCCAAATAATAGCAACAAAACGAGTCAAAAATTCAAAGCAAAGGGAGTTATATGTATTTGGAGGCGGCCAGTCTGTTAGGTTCATTGTAGCTTCTCATCACTAATGAATCCCAAATCACATTCTTTTTGGGGAATACAATGTTAAAACAGCCTAGACAGTTCTCTTAACAGTAGTCAGGAATCAATACAGAGGCACTTGAATCAGCAATTTCCTGACTGACAGTCAATCTCATAAGTGCCGGGATACAGTTTTGAGCAAAGGCCACAGAATGAGCCATTTGATTTACAAGCTGGCATTGATGACAAGGTGAAGGACATTGTCACAGTTAAGGCATTAAGCTTAGCCTAACTACAACTGCTTGCTTTCAGTCAGGGGTACAACGCCCTACCTGGCCAAGCTGTTCACAAGCTGTTTGATACTCAGCTCGCTGACAGAGGTCTTTCACACGCTGGTATTTGGGTAGAAAGTTTTCTTCTTGGGCATCTACCTTCTCATTTTCCCTCTTATGCAGCAATTTACTGCAAAAGAAAAAAAGAAAAAAGATTTATTTTTGCATTAATATTAATTTCAAGCTATACATACAGTTTGCTGAAAAAAGGCTCAGAGGAGTAGGTTATCTGCCAAGACCATAGCATCACTGGCAGCCAAAACTTCATAGTCCAGTAGAAACTAGCACTTACCATAATCTCCAATAACACCCAAGTTATTCATATCATGCTCTCAGGGTGTGTACAAAAACCACACAAAACCAAGACAGTGTGTTTCATGTCTGATTGGCAGGCAGTAACAACAGTTGATACAAAGAGACCATAACCTCCTCACTCCACAGGGCTGCACTTCACAAACCCTTCATGCCCTGTTCTACGTGTTAAGGCAGAGGCGTAGAGGGAATGGCCAGCAGACGGACATGCAGAGAGGAAAGGTTATTCATACTCCCATGACACAAGCAGGAGGGTCGGGGGGTGGGGGCAGCAGCTGAATGATGCCCTTCCACCTCTCAATCTAAGTAAAACTCCCCTTCCCCCACCCAACAGCACATTTATGCAGGTGGTAGCCAAAGGCCATAGATTCCCTCCTATCACACAATCACTGCCATTAGCCGTACTGCAGCCGTGTCCCTGCTGGCACATCTAAATGGCTTTAGGTCTCTGGTAGAGTGCTGCTTTGGCTTTAGCTGTTCAGTACCCTTCTATTTAAAAAGACTGGCCTTTGCGATTAACACTTTCCTTACCCTCTTTCCACTAGAAACGAGTCTCTCCACACCTTCACCTTTTTCTTTAAATGGAACCTAAGAGAAAATGAGGAAAGGAAGAAGCAATTCCCACAAAACCAATGATCAAGTCACGCCCCAGTTTTCCACCCCCAATTCAGACGAGAAACATTACATATAACGGCACAAGGGGACATCCAGCTTTATGAACCAGACACATATGCCTCTCCAGTGCAACCCACGAACATAGTACAGGTTTGTTCTCACAGGGACAAAATCCACAACAAGTTCACAGTACAACTACTTCAACATGTTTAAGCATGTTTAAGGCACAGGGGATTAACTGAATTGTCCTTGATCACAAAGGATCACAAATTAAATCAGGATTTCCTGACTCCAGTTTGGGCTTTTAACCTGCACACTACCCCAAGAGTACACTATTCTAAAGCAGCTGCTCCTTTCCCCCTCTCCCTCCACCCAACTACTTGTAAAGCAAATCCCCTTCTTCCCTTTTTCTGCTGATTTTCTCTGCCAAGCATCCAGTCTAATTCTCTTCCTCAGTCCTTTTCCAGTGAAAGTATTGATGGAAAGTCTCAAATAATAACCACAACTCTGAGTGCTAGCCTGTCTTTATATTATAGTCTGATACACCACCAAACCTTTCAACTCAATTATTCTACAATTTATTCAATATGAAATGCTTTGCTAGAAATGATACCACAGAGACATTTAAAATCTATAACTCCTATAGCTAAAGACCTTCACGTGTGGCCCTCTCACTGCTACATTTAGTATATCCAGATCCCATATATGCCATACAGCTAGTATACAAACCTGACAAAATAAAAATAAATAACCGAAGTCAGTCACATATTGCTAAATGGGTCTTTAGATTTTTCAGTGATTGACGTACTCATATAGATGGTAATTTTATTATATTTTCCTTTAAATTTGCTGAATGTTGCTGAATATTGCTCAGTCTCCTGTACAAACACATGCTTGTTTACATGCACATTTCCATTTCTTACCTATTCACTGGTCTCTCCGAATCCAGAAGCTTTAGAATGGATTTACCATCCATATCAGATGGAATATCCAATCCAGCAATATCTAGAATTGTAGGTGCAAGATCAATATTCAACACAATGTGAGGATTCCTGAAAAAACATATATGAGAACCTGGTTTAAGTCTATGCAATGATACCAAGCAACTCCAGTTCTTCCACAGAGACCAGGGATCTGAAAAGGCTTATTTCATGATATCTGCCAAAGAAGAAAAGAGGACACAATCCCATTCCTTTCCATGAAGAGAATAAATTTAAAATTTAGGTAAGCTGCATAACTTCAAGAGGCGCTAATATGAAGATTTAAAACTTTAGCACAGAGCATTTTTGAGAAAGCAAAAGTAGTTCATAAGGCAAAGTTAGTTAATTATTGCAAAAGAGGGTTCAAAAATCTTTCAAAATATCAGAAAGCACCAGAAAATCTCCTTGGGTATCTTCTAGAATCAAAGTGTCTGCCAAACATACTGATGCCTTTATTAAAGAGTAGATTTGGCAGGTAGCATATGCTTTATCTGTTTCAAAATATGTTATAGAAATATGTACCTCAGCTTATACCACAGCAACCATGTTCTGAAGAGAATACGAGGAGAAATATTTTGCTAGGCACTACAGTAAACAACTAGAAGCTGCAGTTGCGGAGAAAAAAAAAAAAAAAGAAAATAAAAGCACAGCTTTAATTGAAATACTATCAGTCTTCCCAAGAGCAGTTATCCATTCTGCACTTAAAACCAGCCATGCCCTGCTACTTAGCAGAGTAGTGGCATGTGCTCCTCAGTCACCACAGTTAACAGGACAATATTTGAACTTAAATTGACTTCAAATTTGGTTAAAACACAGGCATCAACTCCAGAGGTGTACAGGCAGCTCCTATCCCCAAATCCCTTGAACTAGCACAGCTAAACATGAGTTCACGGATCAGAGCATCTAGTCGCATGCCTTGGCATTCAGTAGTTCAACAAATGCCCACTTTTCAAATCCCGTGACTTGGTTTTACGATGGGTCTGGTTTTGTAAGAGTGCTTCCAGTTTATGCTGACCCTTACAAACTTCTTTCAAATATGTCTATGACAGTGTTGTGTAATTACTTACAGTATTACACATATACATACTGTTTATCAGCTGTATACTATTTCTTTTCTGTATTTCTTCAAAAAAAAAAAAAAAATCAAGGAAGACACTCATCTTAAAAGTGGGGAAAAAAAAGACAGGGAGCATAATGCTATACAAACAGCCTTCTACAGCACTGAACATAAAGAATCACTGTGCTATGATCTGCAGGCACAAAGGAAGGATGGGACCAGATGGGCTGCAATACATGTCAGTGCAGAATTCTAGCTCAAAATACAGGACATAAGCAAGCTGTTAAATTCACACTAATTAATGAGACACCATTTAAAAATTACTACATTTTTGAGCTAGAGAGCAAACAGGCACCGACAAGAGCATGGATGATGAATTAAATTAATGTACCTAATTTGATTTTAATTACTAATAATTGTGGTGTAGCATATTTGGTAACAGAAATGAGAGCTTAGTAATGGCTTGCTACAATGACTGCTATTAAATCTTAGTTGGTATCAAAAGGAAGTCATAGCAATTACTCTGCAAAAAAAACATAAGGCTCACACAAAACATGGATGATTGAAGTTCTACCATTTAAAGAAAATCAGGCTGAAAGGGAGGATCAATTTATTATCTGATGTATTCCCCCTCCAAGGTATTTTATCCTGTTCTTCCTATTTGTTGTACTGTGATGCACAGATGTACCATTCCGTTAGACTCTGTCAGGCTGACTCCTCTGATTCTAACATAAATATTTTTTCATGTTCAAAAGCCACTGAAAAATAAAATTCAGTAGGAAGGTTTCACAGCTTTTACGCATGTCTGGGTGTAAAGATCCTTGAACTAGAGCAGACATGAGGTGGCTGGTTTCTAGCATTGCATGTTGCAGAAAAACTAGCTCAATCCACTTGGGCCATATTAGCATTGCCTCTCCAATAAGACCACAAACTGCAGTCAAAGGGAAAGAGAGCATGTTCTTAGAAGGCTAATCCAGTTCACTGGAAATTCTGTGCTGCTGCAGACAAACTTCTTCCAGTGCTGCGGTAACATGTTTAATTCCACTTGAGGAATCCCTCCTCTGCTCTTTAAAGTAATATTGTTTATTATGCATAACTACTGTAAATAAATTAGACACATCATGCAGTATCTACAGAATTTAACATTTTTGTGCCTATTGATACTGTGAATTAGTAAATTTAAACAGCAAATAGAATGAGAATTTTTTTAAATTATTTGCCACTGTATTACACACTAGATCTGTTCCTCTGCAGTAAAGAAAAAAATTGTGTGGAAGACTTTGTATGTGTTAATTATGCTAAAACATGCATACTGATATAAATAAAAGGCAGCAAATTATGGCACTCTGTCCAAAATCATTACTTCAGTGCAAATATTTGCTATTGAAATAATTGCTTAGAAAGTGTATTTACATAATTTCTTAGCTGATCAAAGCTACCATTTTAATTAACAGCCATATTCTGCATGCTTGTGTGCATCTGACAAACAGCCCTAACCACGTTACCTCAAAAGGAACTAAAAAGGATCTTCTGTGAATAATACTGTTACATACATTCTTCTTCATAAACTGAAACAAGTGACTCCACTTTAATGTTCAGCAATAAATATCTATTGTGGCAGTGAATATCATACAAAATATTTTTTGCCTTGAAAATGTCATAGTTATGTGTATTATTTGTAACCCTCAAAATGAGGCAAATAAGTGTTTCCTAGATTGAACATATTTCAAACTGGCTTTTTCAACTACATCCTCGGAAGTGTAGTGGCTTGTGCTGCACACCTACGGAAGCAAAAGGGCAATAGCATAAAACTATGTCGTACCAGTACATGCTGTCAGTTCTGCCGTCTGAGTAGACATATTTTTCTGCCAAAGATGAGCAGGAAGTCAGTCGGTCAGGACGGGGGAATTTTGTGCCTCCATTAGGATGTGAATACAACTAGAGATGTGAATGTAACGGATTTTTCTGGTCACTACATAAACATACCTATATACACAATAGCCAAGAACTTACAAGGATCCAGCCTCCACATTTGGACCTCGGACATAGAAAGGAACTCTGATATCAAACTCATATGGCATGGACTTTCCTTTCACCAGCCCAAACTGCCCAATATGATAACCATGGTCTGCTGTGTATATTATATACGTATTGTCCAGTTCACCCGTTTCAACCAATGTATTGTAAATCTGAAAAAAAGCAAAAGAAAATATGAAATTCATTCCACTGAGCAGTACTATATGCAGAGTACTAGATACAATTTTCTGCCTACGTGTAATATACAAATAAATAACAAAAGTTTTATTATGCCACTGAGTTACCACAATGAACTATTCTGAATAATCCACAATCAAATTAACTGAATATTGTGGCTTTTACAAGGCAAACTTCTGTTTTTTGTTTTAAAGTAAACACATTAGCATGCCATATTTTCAGCAGTGTTTGGGTTCAGTATTTTGCATGAGTACTGTCAAGACAGTACTAAATACATAGAGTAACAGAGAAAAAAGTTTCACGGTGATAACCGTTTCTGAAATTTTCTCTCCACCTTTCTCTTTTTCCTGCAGCAAACAACTTCAATAAAAATGACAGCACTTTGAATCTCACTTATTTAAGCAACACTCAACAACCTTGCCTTCAGACAAATGACTCCCCATTATGTAGAGTATTTGCAAAATCTCTTCCAGGTAAATACCACTCAGTAATACTCTCTCAGTAGCTGGAGAACTAACATGGAGAATAAGAGGAGCTTTAACTCTGTCTGCGGTTGCTTCTACAGATTTACAAGAGAATCCTTATGTGAAACGTACCAACTCCACCATCACAAATCAATTTTTATGTGACATCTTCATTTGAAAAGATACGAAGGTGGTGGGGCCTCACATGGATCCAGAACACATCAGCACAGAAGAAAACCAACTCTTTTGTTGTTGTTGCATTGATTTGGATTTTTTTGGGTTTTTTTGGGGGGCTGGTTGGTTGGTTTATTTGTTTTTGGTTGTTTTTTTTTAGATTTTGAAAGACTATTAGATGCACATAATTCAGTAGAAAAGATCAGGCTAACTTGGCCGTTACAACTGAAAAAAAAAAATCCAACTGATTTTGCCTGCAGTGAATAAGTGAAACCACTTAACCAAAAAGAAAATCAAGATAGAGTAGTGAAATAGCCAATCTCCCCTAATGCTAGTATCTGATCCATCTAAACAGGTTCATTAACATGAAGTAGAGATCATACTTGCCTGAATCAGTAATTATAAGACATTACTAACAAGTTGATGCAATACCATCCAGACAATCTCTTCTTTGCCTTACAGGGCTCCTCTTATTTTACGTTCTACCATTTTTGAATGAGAATGCCAAGAGATAAGCAGTAAACTGCAACACCTTTAAATCTGCCTTTTTGGAAGGAAAAAACAAAAACTGGAAACCCATTCTTTTTCAAACTAGCTTTTAGCTAATTTAGATGTTTCTGTTGAAGACACCCAGTTTGCAATAAGATATTTCATTGTTACATCATGCAGACTTCATTAAAAAAAAAAAATCTACCTATATATTTAATTACTTTAACATTTAACATCCTGGGCCTGGTTTACCACGGGATTATTCCAGTCAGGACCCCTGTAGCATCGCTTTTTGTTGTTGTTTTTCTTCTCTCAGAAACTCAGTGATACAGGATCAAAATAGGCCCACAGTTAGGTAATTATTTCCAATAGGTTGTAGGATGACTTTTCACTATCAGACGACAAACTTCTAGAATTTATAATGTACATTTTTACAGGTGATCCCTCCCTCTTCCCCTTAATCAGTAGTGGCTCTGTGGCAACAAATCAGCTCGCTCACACCACCCAACTCAAGGTACCTGTCTTTAGGAGATGAGGATTCTTACACATTGAGTAGACACACAAAATCCTCACGTGTGAAAGGACTGATGCAGTCCTTCTTTTTCCTTCCCCCTTATCGTCACATACAGCACAGCTTGGCGCTTACCTCAAGAAACAAGCACCTGTTTAGCCAAAAAAAAGTGACTACTGATCTTACCATCTCCATAGAGTCGTCCACAGACATGAGTGTTTGAAGGCGCTTTCTCTGTAGCATGTTAGTGAACTCCATGTGTATAGGTTTCATGGGACCTGTATACCTCATTATCCAGTGCTTGTCTGGATTTGGAGCATAGTTATAACTGGGAGTGCTAAGGAACAGAGAGAAAACCAGAATGCATTAGCAGTGTAGAAAAAGCCAGAATAACATATACCAATAATTTCTATTTGATCAACACTATAGGACTAACTCTCCAAGGTGCACGAGCAAATACTGGGTTTACTTTGGAAAAGTCTAACACTTTTATGTTCTATACAAAGATGGGAGAATGAAAACAACTCTGTGGGGAATTAAATCTATTAAGAGGGTAAATGTACACTGTCTTCGCAGTGTCTTCAGACTAACATATATACATTTCAAGGCCAAGAGACTAGCCTCAGAAATCTAACTCCACAAGTATGATCTGGATCACGTATGTACTATAGAGTTCCTACTCATGTAACTGCTTTGCTTTCACTCAGCCCACAATAGCACCAAATATTATGGCTTGTACAAGCTGTTTAACAACAGCTATAGAACTTGCAGAAAAGGTTCTACCATGTTCCTTAACAGCTTTTTTGAATTCAACATGACTGGCTATTTGAATACTTTCACACTCATGTACCCAGAGGAGCACAGGCACCCTACCTGGTAGTATCAAACTGCATGTGAGCTCATGGCAAGCAGAGGTGGATACATAGCCGGATTTTAAAGACCTGCCAAGAAAAGCAGGGGTGAGGGGAAGTAGGACTCTATTTTGCACTTTCCAGCCACCAACTCCTTTCCGATCATCAAAGTCCCTGCAAAATCCCATGAGCTGGATTCAATGTCCTCCTAGAATCTCACAACTCCTCCAAGTTCTTCTGATCCTGTGACATCATTAAAGTCAGGAGAACAAATACCACTGACTGTTCATAATTTCATGTTGTTGGCAGTTCCAGAGATTGCTTTTTTGTGCACAATTGTATTGCTCTAGCTTAGCTAGATCTAAACAAAAGATTTATTTTGGTATATCATTACCATAATGTTGACTCTCTGCATCACCAACTCACTAGAAAGGTATATTATAGCTTACATTTGCAAGAAATATTACTTTTACCTACTATATCTATTCCTAAAAAAGTTTGTTCTTACTAAGATTGAGAACCTCCTTTGTCAATTTCTTCACACCTCAGCTCAAACACATCACCTGCAGAGTCTAAAATGTTAAAAATTACTTTTCCTAAGTGATTTGTGGAGGCTTCCCTTTTTCATTCAAAGCAATAAACTCAGTCTATTCAAATGTGCAAGCCAAGAGGGTGACACAGTAACACAGGGGAAAAAAGCAGATATTCCGTTATTTTCTTCTTCACAACACTCAATTTCCTGATAAATTCAGCCCCTATTTGGCAAATACCTACTGTTGTTTTTGTGTAAGCATCAGAGCAGCGGGGTAAGTTATTAAGATAAACAATAGTAATATAAGTTGAAACTTCTCCTTGAAATGCATGTATCTAATGTATCTTTGAATATGACAGGTAGCCTTGAGAGTTTTAATACAAATATGAAATTAATTATCTGACAGTGAAATGTTTTATGCCAAAAGCCTCTGTTAGATGCTATCTGAAAAATGTGTGTACGCAGCAAATGGAGGCTTCTTCATATAGGGAGGAAAGGGCTGGTGTTTATTCTCTCTGTATTGTTAATAGCCTCTTGAATTTCAGAATGTTATTGTGGCTGAAATAATGACATTGCTCCTTTGAAAGTGCTGACAGTTATGGAAACTGTTGCTATGTGATGCCCAGAATGAATCAAAAATGCTTGGCAAACTCCTTTTCAGCTTACTTTGTGATTTCCTGGCTGATTCGAAACCTCCTGCTGTTTAATCCAACCAAAGCCCATGATTTTCTTTGATTACTACAAATGTAACCCTCTTACACTTAACAGATTTGTCTGCCTTATGGGAAAAATACAAACACAACATTCCTAGAAGTTGGTTAAGATAACCTCTTCAAATGTACTCAGAAGATAAGTCCTAGCCTGATTGCATTTGACCTTGGAAAAGATGGGTGGTAAAATGTACCTTCTGTAGAAATAACATTTCTGATCACTGTTAAACTGCCCATCTGTTGAATTCTCCGCAGTATCAGCACAGGCAGTAAAAAAGGAAAAACAGTCATGTAGCCTAGGGATTTGCTATATGAATGCTGGTTGATGTGAATAATCCTCAAACAAGAAAAGACTGTAGATGCACACAAAAAGTAGCTCTGCAGAACAAGGTGGAGAGACTGCAGTATAGGGTGGAATGGACATATCAGCTAGTATATATAATAATAGAAGCAAGAGAACAGCAGCATAAATTGGCAACCAAAATACACACCAGGGTTCCCAAGCAAAATAGTACTCAGACTGTCAGTCTATGCTAAAATCCACCCCACTAACTTTTAGCTATTATTCGCACTGCTACACAACGCAGTATGTACGTCAAGCAGCGTAAGCAGTACAGTCACACCTTCACTTTGCTTTGTGGATATAGCTCAAGAATCCGCTTGCAGACTTTGTCAGCGCTGCCACAAGCAGATGCACAGAGACGTGGCACATGGTGTACCGTCTGCCGATTCGGGGACTAGACAAAGACTTTGCTCAGGTTATTGCTTGCTGCTTTAGGGCAATTCATAAGAAGTGTTCTGTGTTCTGATCCCTCCCTACCATATCCACATGACAGCAAAACAGTAAGAACTGCCTACACCTCTTTATCATTGACAAAGGAATTCCTGGGAATGCGGGAACAAGGGGAAAAAATGGAAAGCAGAGAACTAATTTGTACATACAGAATCACAGAATCACAGAATGGTAGGGGTTGGAAGAGACCTCTGTAGGTCATCTAGTCCAACTCCCCTGCCAAAGCAGGGTCACCTAGAGCAGCCTGCACAGTGAAGGAATGATGCACTTTCTGCATTTTTACATTTAATCTTAAACCCGGGTCAATGAAAACCCTTACAGATTATTATTTAGTGCCTGTAAAATAGTTTAGAATAAGGTGGGCAGTTTCTTTGCACAAGACGTACATAAAATCCTATTTTATACTCATATCCAAAAGAAAAACACAGTTCCTTGATCTACTAGGATAATTTGTTTCTTTACAAACAAAACTTCTTGCCACAAAGTGACACCTCCTGTGTAATTGTTATCATTGTAAGAAAAGTCACCTACAATTAAAAATAGTTTTGTGTGACTACTTTATAATTAAGAACATAAATCCAATTTGTGTGAAAAATAAAATATAAATTATGAGCAAAAGAATAATAGATGTAGTTTATATCTTTCATTGCTGACCTTCCACAAATCCTTCTACTCTTTTTCATTCGACTAGCTTAATTAAACTGCTACAGAAAGTTGCTTGATAAATGATTATCATCTCTGAGATATAAATGCCTTCCAACGAAACTTCTAATATGACTGAGGTCAATACCGGGTATAAGCTACGAGAAGCTGCTCATTCGTCATTTCTGTAATTTTCATTTCAAAGAAAATAAATGAGCACAAGATGGCAAACAAACACAAAATACTGCATTGCTCTAGATCTAGGACACAGCTGCTCTTTGGTAGCACATCACAAAATAATGTAATATATAATTCTAAGTTACGCAATACCTAGACAATAGAACTAAGGAAGCTTTTTCTCTCAGACTCTATTTTAAATAAAGTGAAGAAGCTCTAATGTATTTCACTGGACTTTGGACTAGTCCCGAGCAGCTTCAGCTACCATTTGATTATTTCCATCAGTTCCCAGTTCCTTCATAAATCCAAAATAAACCAGAATTCCCCGTAAAAAAAAAAAAGTTAAAAAGGGCACATAGGAAGAAAGTTACAAAATGTTGAACATCAATGAAAGCACGAAGCTAGTAAACAGAAAAATACTGGAATGCTTTCAGTTGTGCCAGAAGGTGACTTGGGAGAACCATTCCTTTTATCACCATGTGAGGAGATGCCTGTAATGGAGGATTACAGAGCTGGACCTATAAAATGACTCTGTGCTATAAACAAGAACCATCTCATCAGGGAGCTTATGAACATGTTAACTCAGGAACTGGGTGATACTGTTTTTGGGACCCATTCAAGACATTGCACTGGGTCATGTACAGACATAGCAGCTCATTCAGAAACAGCTTGTCTAATTTGGTGCTGCAGGCCTGTATCTCCTTTCTTTCTGTATATGAAACAGGAGTAATACAAGTAATTGCATATGATGTGATTTTTGGCAATACCCATAAAATAGTACAGTTTATACATAGGGACAGGGAGATAGTTTCTTCCCCAGAAAAGATTACAGTCCAAGAACCAGATTTTGACCCCCCTGCTCAAAATAACGCAGTGCTTTGCTTTCCAAATAGGCTTTAACAATGCCCAACGAATGCAACATTAATCTTCCCATTTATCTCAGTGCGCTACAATTCTGAGTTCTAGGTGCAGTAACCATTCTCAAGATACTTGTACTAGTCTGAATAGATATTAAAAAACCCCCCAAACCTCAAAACTCTTCTTACATATTTGCGACAAACTTACGCCCAGTGTATTATAAAGCAACCACTGTTCCCCCAGAGATACCCATGACTTCCGTACTCCTGAACCTGGAAATGAAAGGGTTTTATTTTTCCTTACATGTGTTGTGAGGCATTAGGAAAGAGATGTGAGTACTGAGGGGCTGAATCTTCAGGGCCATGAGGAGCAGCATGGCTTATAACCATCAGTACAGGCCTGTGAGGATACATCTTCTTTGAGATTCTGAAGAAGGTAATACTGTCATTGGTAATCAGGTCAGTTAGATAATCCTGCAAGTAGAAGTAAAAGTATAATGACATACTTGAAAAATAATTTCAAGTTGAGGGGCGAGATAGGAATAGGAGATCTGAGGTATCATAAACAACAGGAAAAAAGAAGCTACTTCACTCAGGATGGGAGGAGAAGGGAGTAAGTTACAGATGTTAAAACTTCAAAAACTAAACCCAAATCATTCTTTCTTTGCTGCCCAGAAATATGCAAAGCAACAGCTTCCTCTCAGAAATGAATGACATTAAAGAAGATCAAATAGCACTCTTTCTTCCCAGAGTATGTAATTACATTATGAAGACCATAACACTAAATATAGTGACCAGGTATTAATAAAAAACATTAGAAAATTACAGGTCAATTTCTTTGCTTTTTGGTCTCTATATCTTCAAGGTGTATACACCAACCTTGCACCATAACAGTGCTTTGAAAATCTAAACAGCTTGCTGTTCATTTTTCGTAACCTCCCTCTGAACCAGAAGTCACTAAAGCTAGATGATGCCGGGCTAATCGGACCAAAAATTTCATCCAATATTACAGAGACAGTGACAATCTGCTAGACATATAGCTCTATCAAATCAATTGCTGAGAATTCAGAAAACTTCCTTTGGAAGATATGGGCTATCTTTCTATTTTCTAAGAAGTATCATTATGATTCTTATAACTGCTGAAGCTATATGGACTAAAGACAGTAATTTTAATGACAAGCTAGGTTCTCTCTTTAGGCTGCACCACAGGAAATACTGCATATACCAACACCCCTCAAACATGAGTAGAATATGAAATTGCATCTTTAAAAAACAAAATAATAACTGTCATGTCACAGCTGAACCTAAAATGAGACATAACATCTGCCTCTGCTCAAGTGAACCAATGCAAGGTGTGGATTGCATCTCCCTTTAAGTACTTCTAAGTCCTTTTAAGTTCTGTTCATGGTTCAGACACTTGCTCGTCTTTACCAATGCCAGCATGGTTGATCTGAGAAGTCAGCTTATCATTCATCAAAAATCAGCCTTTTTCATTGACTGAACTTACTTTCCCCAAGTTATTTCCTGTGTATCCCAGAACAAGGCTGGTAAAGTCTCCATTTGGAACTTTATACGGTGGTCCCAACATGAGGCATGTCTGTTATGGAACTGCCATGATTATGACTGTTATTGATAGAATATTTTCACTCACAAAAACTGGTGTAAATAGGCATAATTCCACCCAAGTTAACTGAAGGACCTCCATTCATAAGCATATGCAGGGGAAGGCAGAATGTACAGTAAGCCAGACCAAAGCAAAACTGACTTCTGAACATACTTACTATACCCGAGACCATACTCATAGCTGAAAATACTGGAGTGCTCTCAAAAACGCCCTGACAGTTATCTAAAATGTGCCTGCTCTTTAACCTGGTCAGTCACTTTCTTCACCATGCTACTCATCTTTCATTTAGCCATTACAAAAGCATAGTTTTCAAACTCCATTTTGAAGATGAAGGTTTTCACCTGATCGAAGTGAAAATTATTCAAATTTAACATTGCAAAACCAGTGTTTGTCAGGCCACAACACCAAACAGAAACATTTTCCTTTTTTTTTAAAAGCTTCAGGTTGCAGAGGTTGTAATAGACTGTGCAAATGCATACAAAACTAAAAATTCATCAAAAAAAGTTGACAGAAACTGAAAAAGAAAAATCAAAGTAAAATATATCCTGTTATAAAATTGGAAATAATTTGCAAGGATTTCATTTTCACAGGATAAGTGTTCGGCAGTCGCTTTGGAGGACAGAATCAGTAGTGGTTTTTTCTAGTTTTCCACTGGCACATAATTAACATGAACAATGTCAAATAGATAGGGCTAAAAAATAATCTGATTATATTGTTCATTGCTGGAAAATTAAGTTTCCAGCAACAAAAATGGCAGGAAAGAAAGAGAAGCAGTCTTGTATTTCAGCTTCTGTTTGTTCATTTGTAATCCAGTGTTAACATCAACAAGTGCTGTTGCTCTGCACACTGTCATCTGTTTATTACCATAGCTGTGTATTGTGCAAGAATATGAAGATTATCAAAACATTTATATCTTCATCAGACTTTTTTTTAATTTATTACCAAACTTGGTAAGAAAAACAAAACCAAATGAAAACTGAAACATTTTCAAGTATTGCATAGACAAAACTGAGCTGAGGATACTGGAACATAAAGTTCCCCGCTGGCTTCTTGGTACAATAGGGAACAGTGCCCTGTGAAATCACTTGCCTGACATTGTTCCACGTAAGATACGTTTCCATCATAACATTTTTGGTACATGGCTGTAAAGATTAGCTCTCTCATTCTTCATAGATCAGAAGGGAAATAAAAGACAAATAATTCTGTACACCAGTTGCCCCTTCCCCTTAGCAGCTGGTGATAGAAAAGGAAACCCAAGAAGCCTGTTTAAACTTCACTTTCAACACATAGTACCTTCAATTAAAAATGGCAAACAGGGGAGGGGAAGGGAGGAAATCACACAGACATCAATCTTTTAGAGGAAAAACTGCGAACACACTGCTAAAGAAACACCAATATAGAGGCAGGAATTCCGCTCAACAAGAGAAAGGGAACCAAATCCCTGTTCAACAAATACACCTTGCAAATCCCTCCAGAGTGAGGTAACTTCACAAGTTATACAACTACAGCAATTTATGGATAAATTTATTTATCATCATACTTCAGAGACAATTCAGGCCATTTTAGGAATCACAAAAGCTGAATCCTTTGGAACATTAACCATTTTGGCTGAAATAAACATATTCCTGACTGCAACAGGTAACTATTTGAGCTGTAACATGTGCTAGATGAGGAAAAAAATGATACTGCATTTGACAATGACTATCAAGCATTTTAGTAAGTTTGGCCAGGGTATAACATCCTTGCAAGCACATTAGGAACCATATGCACCTGTACCAATGCATGGAGATACGGCTTTAATAGTTAAATTCTCCACCCATTCAGAATTATTGTAAGATATATCAAGATATTATGAACTCTTCATCATGCTGTGGCTGTGAAACAAGTTCCTTAGACTAACATAAAAAGATAGGTCTAGCTGGAGGGAACTGGATTCTTATCTCGTCTACGCTTGTGTAACTGCACTGCAGACAGTGCTATACCAGGGGAATAGATGATAATCAGACTTAGCATACAATAATTAAAATACAAAGCACAGAAATAGTTCCTATGCAGCTTTTAAATCCATTTTTACATCTTCAGCTCATAATACATAGTACAGTCTCAGGATGTTTTGTTTGTTTCCATTGCTGCTAACAACTTTTCAGTAACATGACCCTCCCAGAATGGAAGATAACAAAAAGTCCAAACACAATGCCTCTTGGGTTGTAGCTAATGTTACACAGAGCAGCTTTCAAGTATGAAAATAATTCTTTAGTTAGACTAAAACCATAAAGCACAGCTTTCTTGCAGTCATGTCCAAATGTTAAAAAAATAGAAATAAATCAATAGGACATACCCTGGAGTAGTCATATCCGTGCTTCTCCTTCACTCCATTTCTACAGAGCGTGTAGTTGTAAAACCGAGATTAAGGTACTTCCCAAAGAAAGCTAGGGGCGGAGAAAGCAGAAGCATAGTAAGCAGGCGTAACAAACACTCCAAAGACACCATATTTAATCATATTCTTTCCATTCTGCCTCTTCTGAGAGAAGCTTTGTTTTCTTCATTCCAACACATTTAAGATAAGTTCTGTTGGCCTGTGTTTATTTCAGAGCTCCATAATACAGATCTTTTGATTTACAACCTGACTACATATGAGAGAAACTGGACCACAATTACCATTATATTGTCTTTAGTGCCTGATACATTTAGAGTCAGATGAACAAAACAGAGAATGCTTAAAATAGTGCCAGCTGCTGCATTATCTCATCCTACTCTGAATCACCCAATTTAGCTACATTTTTCATTTTGGTTACACCCTCTTAAGCCATCTTCACCTAAGGAACTGGCAGCAGCAGTGAAGTCACTATTAGGAGCCTGGCTTGTGAGAAATGATGACAAATGAGGACCCCAAATACGATGAGATTTTAAACTTGCTGCATAGAAGAAATGAAGCAGCAGGCTGTTTGGCAGAGCAAGTGCAGAATGAGTACAAGGATTCTCACAGAACACAGGGCAAGCATTTAAACCATGCTCCCAGAACAGCTATGTATATGCTAGCCTTGCTCTGTAAGCCACAAATGAACACACGTGAACTATTTTTCAGGAAATGGTTAAGCAAAATCAAAAGCATTTGTTTTTTATGAGAACACCACAAATTCTCTAAAGTACACGATGTACCCCAATGATGCTTTCACACTATTCCAGTAAAAAATTAAATAATTTAAAGGAACATCTTTTTCATTATTAGTTTATACATTATATCATCACTGTGCAATTACAGGACAAATTATACTGGAAGACTCCATTTGTCTAGCTAGTTCTTTTAAAACTTCAAGGCAAAATTCTGCCCTTGGGTCTGCAGGCTGCATTGCAATTCAGCATCCGACTTTTCACGATCAGAGCTCAGATCTCGATTTTTCAATGGTCTGGCAATACTAGTTAGCATTACCACAGTGACGAGCACAAAGATCTTTACACTTGTTCCACTTGCCATTACAAATACTTTTAATCCAGAAGCACATAGTATCTGCAGCTTCTCACGCTGGCTGTTGATCAGTGAACATCTGTGCTTCTACATGGACAATGGAATATCTATGATTCTGTTCCTAGATTAAACCTCACCTCTTAATCTAGAGGATTTGAGCACATAATTCACAGCTCCCACATTCTTAAATATTTTTAGGCTTGCAGCCTACAGTGTCTGATACTGCATCTTCTTGTACTTGTATAAACACAAGGGGCAATACTGTGGTTAGAGTAGAACAGATTTTCACTGCAAAGAGGGCTAGCCCCATTGAAGTCAATGGATTTACGTCTATTTGTAGTAAGCTGAGTATCTGTCCAAAAGATAGACAGAAATAGTGATACAAAACAGTATGTGAGAGGGTTACATATCATTACTTGATAGTGCTTTTTTTTTCTAAAAAATGGGAAGTATGACGTTAGCAACAAAATAATATAGTGGAATAGAATTAAATAAATTTACAGAGAGTAAATACATTATGCACTGAATGTCCATAAGATCCAACTCAAAGTGCTTAGGCAGAATGCAAAAGCATATTTGGAATCATCCTCCTCAACAAATTTCAATGTATCCAATTAATGTGTAAGGTGAGCCAAGAGAAAGTGAATGTTTGAAAGAGATGAAAGCATTGACAAAATTAAGATCTACATCACAGAAGATGAATACATCTATTAGGACAGAATTAATAAATTCCTTAAAATGACACTGTGCTTTCAAAGTATTTTGCAAAAGCAGGTAAGGTGTTATGCTATTTTACAGACGAGCCACCTACAAAAGGGTTAGGTGACCAATAAGCACTGTGCAGAAAAGAGTTTATTTCACTGTCCTAAACTACCTCATGACGTCTTCTTTAACCAAGCGAAGTAAACAAGTAGCAATGAACAAAGCAAAATCTACACCACAGTAGGTGAAAACTATCACATTACTCAGGGATCATTTTTATACAGTATATAGAATCACAGAATCTTCTTTAACCAAGCGAAGTAAACAAGTAGCAATGAACAAAGCAAAATCTACACCATAGTAGGTGAAAACTATCACATTACTCAGGGATCATTTTTATACAGTATATAGAATCACAGAATCACAGAATAGTAGGGGTTGGAAGGGACCTCTGTGGGTCATCTAGTCCAACCCCCCTGCTGAAGCAGGGTCACCTACAGTAGGCTGCACAGGATCTTGTCCAGGCAGG